GTTGAAAGTGATGGGGCAATTCCGGGCATTGAGAACGTCTCGCAGGTCGGTGGTGAAGACATGCTTGTCCGAGTTACAGGCTTGCCTAGCATAGGCCTTGATTTGCCGACCAGATGAAGTACCTCGGGAATTATTCATATTTACTCGGTGGACAGCGATTTGCATCGGGCTGGGAGATCGGTTTTGTTTAAGTCCCCGAGAAGTTCCAGTTGAATTGGAATCAAGTTTTTCCGAGGTAAATACAAACACTTCTTTGTCTCCTTGGCGGATGCGTTTCGGCATAGCACCTCGGTCCTCATCTTCATCTTCATCATAAGGTTCAATTTGACGTCCCGGCCCTCGCTTCTGTGGATCAGTGTTGCGATAAAACTTCCTGAGCTGTGGATGACCAATTAAACGCAATAAGGCAGCTAACAGAGTCAAACATTCATCAGTGTTGTGCCCCGGTGATTTGTGATAGTCGCAATATCGAGATTTGTCCAATTTTTCCTCGGGTATCCGAAGTGGTTTGGGATCGGGCAGAATGCCTTTTCCTTTGATCTCTTCATAAACGGTGGCAGCTCCGACTGAATAAACGATTTGATAACTGGATTTCACGTCGGTAGCATACTGTTTTCGGGCTGTCCTGATTTCGGGGTCGTTAGCATCTCCCCGGGGATAACCTCTAAATTGAGCCTTATTTTGTTTGTCAAAAGATTTGTTTTTCTTGTTCTCCTTGGTTCCCGACTTCGATGAATTCAGATTGAAATTAAAATCAGGGACAGACATGGCTTCCTCGGCAATGATATGTTGCTGAGCTCGGGCAAGGAATTCCTGGAAGGTGTTCGGCTTATTCTGGCACAATGTCCAGCGGAAAATCGAGTTCGGTTTCAACCCGACGATAGTCATAACAAGCAGGGTTTCAGGATGACATGGCTCCATGTTTTGAACTCGGTCATTAAACCGAGCAATATAATCCTTGACGCTTTCATCGTCTGTTTGAGTTACATTTGCAAGAAATTCTTTTGGAATTAAACAAACCTGAGCCCCGATGAAGTGAGATCGGAAAGCCGACCTCAGCTGCTGCCACTTCCAAATAGAGTGAGGAGGAAGAGAGTGGTACTATTTTTGAGCCCGAGGCCCCAGCGTAAGGGAAAACATGCGACACCGAAGTGCGTCTGAGGCCCCATGCAGGTCCATCCACGATGTGTAATGACCGAGGTGGGAATCGGGATCCGAAGTCCCATCGTATAACCAGATTTGAGGAACTTTGACTTTTTTCGGTACAGGTTCCGAAGTGAGCTCAGGCGTGAGAGAAGAGTCGGCTTCCAAATATACTTGCGCCGAGGTCGAGGCCCGCCGAGGAGGATCTTCGGGCATCCTTTGTCGGCTCTCCAATTAGGCGATCCTTCGTCGCAACGTTTCAAGTTCGGAGGATTCTTGGCGAGCTCGGTTTCTTTCTATGTGTTGACGAAGGTCGGTCTGCGCTGGGTTGGAGGGGATTCGATATCGCGTATGAGGTGGCGAATGCCGTGAATGTCCAGACTGACTCTCGACGGTTTTTTCACGAGGAATTACAAGGGATGTACACCCAACGTTGGCGTGACGTGTGGTTTGTTCTGGGTGCGGCTGCGACGTTCGACTGCGAGGTTGATATGTGGCATGAAAAGTGGTTCTGCCGCCGTCTTGTCGCGCCGATGGAATCTGCGGATTAGCGGGAGTCGTGGGTATTATGGAATGTCCTGGTGCAGTCGTTGATGTTACAGGGATTGTTTGAGCCATCAGAGCGGCGAACCCACGTGCAAACTCTGGATTTTGGAACAGAACAGTGTAATCTGGGATATTGGGAGCTGCTGCCTGACGTTTGGCAGATTAAGCCGCACTACGACTTTGGCCATCCCGCGATGTATGACCATGATGGTCTGAATGAGACATGGTTGTAGCGATTTGTGTGGATAACAAAACACGAATCGGAGATTAACCTCAAATAACTTATGAGGCCTTCTTTCTAGCGCCATACTGTTGTTATGCGATTCATAACAACGATTTGATGATGGATTTACTTAATGATTCTTAGTGATTTGAACGTAAGGTATGTATGAAATACTCAACAATGGCCCCGGTCCTAGGTGAACCGAGGTGAAAAGCTTCTGTGAGCTATTTCGTGTTTCATTGTAAAAAGTTTGGTTTTGGGGATCCCCCCNNCCCCCCCCGGCGTACAAGTATTATGAACTCGCTATTTATAGCAACTTTTTGAGATACATATGGGGATTCGTGCATTGTTTTTTCTATAAAGCTACTTTTTGGTGGGCGGCGAGATCAGTGGGTCCCAGCAGATCTCGTAATTTGTGAGAATGGCGTGTAGGCGCCTTGTCACCTGCTTAGGAGGTGACGACCTCGGTTCGTGTTGATCTCGGTTGGTGGTGATCACTTCGGTCTTCTATGGTTATGCCGGTTTGTCGTGCGAACTGGGGTGACTTCGGACCATGTCGGCGTAAGTGTTAAGTTTCCTAAGACGTTGTTTGAGGCTCATAATAGAGAATTACCGAGTCGGATGATAACAGACAAGTTAACAAGTCATTTAACACCTAGCTAGGCAATACAATTACGAACAAGCCTAGTTTGTACGAGCCTATTTCGACCGACTCCTCCCCTTTAGGTTCAAAGAGTCGATTAAATTGAACTAGAAGGTGATAAATCAACTAGTCCATTTAAAAATTCTACCATCATGCATGAATTAATCAAATTCAATTGAAACAATTGGAAGTTGAAGTGTCAATCTTCAACAATTCTCAAAACTCAAGAACAATGATTGAAAACCCTAATAAGATTAACTCGCACAAATTGAACAATCTCAAGCCCGACAATCACAACGAATTCAAAACATCATTTCCCTATTCCCTAGCATATAAATTTAGCTACGCATATTCGAATAATCAACACAAGTAATCTCAACCCAAGAACTCATATTTAACGATTAAATTAAAAGAGAATCTTACTACTGATAAATCCCAACGTAGAATTCAATAAACAAGCTTGAATCCAAAAGCAAAAGCAAAATCCGAGATCAAATCCTTGTTCACGGTGAAAATCGATGGAAAAAAAATATAAGAACGAGAGAAGATAGAAGAGAATAGGGTTTCGGTTTTGTTCGTAAAAAGAATAATAATCGAAGTGTTCTTGATCTTATATTTATAGTGGCAGGCTCGCGGGCGTGAAAAATAGCAGCATGGCGCGGCAAGGTGGAGCATCACGGCGCGGTGAACACTCGCGGCGCGACAAGAAGACTTCTCACGGCGTGCCACCATCACAGCAGCGTGGCAGGCCTTGGCTTCGCGGCGCGGGAGTCTCGCGCGGGGCTTCTGCAGCGACGCGGCAGGACTTCTGGACGTGGTCTTCACGGCGCGACATCATGGCGCGGCGCGGCAGGGCCTCTCCTCACGGGCCGGCAGCACCCAGCGGCGTGGCGGGTCTTGAAGCTGATTCTCTGTTGTACTCGTGGTGGCGATACGGCATGGCATGCATCAGGCGACGCGGCGCAGGGCTTCAGCACGGCACGGCAGGGAGGACCTGGACGTGAGCAACACGACGTGGGGGCTTCACGAGACTGCCTAGGAGGGGCACGTAGCAGGCGCCGCGACGTGTTGTCTGCCGCGGCGCGAGGTGTTTGTTTGCTTTCTTTATCTGAGTTGTGGCATGGTCGCGGCGCGAAGCCTGATCAGTCGGGCCTAAATGCATTATTTTATGTAGTATATCCGTTCGAGTTCGTCCGGCCTCCGAATTTAGTTTTGTTTTCTCCCGTGCGATGCACAACGTCCTCTACTTGATTACGATGTCCCGACTAATATTTTCCTGAAAGATTATCATCCCTTGCCAAGGCTCACGAAACTGCTTCAGCCAAGTACTCCTTCGTGTAGCACTGATTCATCAAATAGACAGCACACGAAACTGCTTCAGCCAAGTACTCCTTCCGCATATTCTTGCTTTTCATCATATTTCTTGCCATGTTGAGGATCATCCGAATTTTTCGTTCAGCAACTCCATTTTATTGAAGTGAGTATGGGGTCATCATAGGACGATGAATGCCTTTTTTCTCACAAAATTCTAAAAATTCGTTCGAAGTGAATTCATCACCTCGATCGGACCAAAGCGCCTTGATCCGACAACCACTATGATTTTCCACCATCATCTTGAAACTTTTGAAGGTAGAAAACACCTCAGATTTTTCCTTCAAGAAATACACCCACGTCTTCCTAGAATAATCATTAATGAATAGGAAAAAGTAATTATTTTTGCCAAGAGAATTTGGTTTGATTGGCCCACACACGTCCGAGTGAACTAACTCCAATGGATATTGCGCCCTTGTCGTCGACTCATTTGGAAAACTCTTTCTTGCTTGTTTTCCATAAATACACCATTCACAAAGTTGGTTCGGATGATTTATTGAAGGCAACCCTTCACCATTCTTCTTTTTCACATCATTTGGAGTCCATCAAAATTCAGATGTCCAAGCCTTAAATTTCATGGCAAAGATGAATCATTGAAACAAGACTTTAAGCACATTGGGACATCACTTTGAATGTTCAAGAAAAACATTCGATTTTTCGTCATCGGGACTTTAACAAGCAATCTTCCATCTTCATCTCTCATCGTCAAACTTCTATCTTTTAGATTAATGTCATAATTTTTGTCTAAAAGTTGTCCCAAACTCAAAATATTGCTTTTCATCTCCGGTACATAAAAGACATTGAAGTTAAATTGATGACTTCCGTCTTTCAATCGAATCAAAATCGTACCTTTCTCTTTTACTTGTACTTTTGAAGAATCTCCAAAAGTTATGTCGCCACCAACAGACTCATCAAGTTTCGAGAATAAATTTCATCTCCCGCATATATGACTACTTGCCCCAGAGTCGAGATACCATCGGCTATCCTCGTCTGCCGAATTTGTTTTGCATGCGAGAAGCAAAGTAGGACCCACATCTTCTTTGTTGTTACTCTCCATAAAATTACTTTTCTCCTCTACGTCACTTTGACACTCCCAGGCGTAATGGCCCTAGCGATGACAATTAAAACACTCGATGTTTGATTTATGCCTTTGATTTGGCCTATATCCTCCACCTCTTGAGCATCGACCTCGTCCACGACCACGACCTCGACCTCTTTCTTGGTTTTTCGTCGATTCATAATTATGTCTATTATTTGCATAATCATGTTGTCCTTGTCTTCCTCTTCCGCGCCCTCGTCCTCGTCCGCCGCCATGACCACAAGCACCTCCATGGCCTCGTCTTGGGTTAGTCTCTTTCTCTTTGATTGATACTTTTGCTTTCAAAGCTTGCTCCACCGATTCTTGTGTTGGTGTCTTCAATCTCTCTTCATGAGCTTGTAGTGAACCCGCAAGTTCATTAACAGTCATGGTGGCTAGGTCCTTTGACTCTTCAATTGCAACGACGATGTAGTTGAATTTCTGATCCAACCATCTAAGAATTTTTCCCACAACTCGATCATCTTTCATATCTTCTCCATTCCTCTTCATTTGATTGGTAATGGCCAAGACTCTTGAGATATAATTCGAACTGGATTCGGACTCCATGTGGAGGGACTCAAATTCACCTCTTAATGTTTGGAGACGCACCTTCTTCACTTTATCTACACCTTTGAATGAAGCTTGAAGAATTTCTCATGCTTGCTTGGAGGTGGTTGCCGCAGCAACCTTCTCGAACATCTTCTCATCCAAACTTTGATGTATAAATGTGAGCGCTTTTTGGTCTTTTTTCCTCTTGGCCGCTTCACTTTCGTCGACTCCTTTTTCCATGGAGTCCCAATACTCATAGGCTCCAAGCAAAGCTCTCATTTGTATGCACCAATTATCATAATTTTCTTTTGTAGGTGAAGGAACTACAAATGGGGTTCGTTCGACATTTTTCAAGCCACGATCTCCAAACAAAAAATGGCTCTTGATACCAATTTGTTAGAAAATGGAAGAGAGAAGTAAAAAAAAAAAAAAAAAAATCTTTGTTATATTATTCCTTTTCTTCATGGCTTCTTCACTCTAACTTGCAAATGACTCACATAAAGTATTTATAGGTATAAGAATACCTTTTGAAACCTTCTAATTTCTATAATTTATTTCACCTACATTTTACCTTCATTCATCTTATAACTTACATTCATGAATTATGTAAATTCCTAGAACATGAGATACTTGTACATACATTAACAAATATTAATTTAGTTTAATAATTCAACACATTCTTCTTAGTAATTACTTCACTCTTAGTGAAAATGACTTATATATGGTAGTTATAAGTATAAGAATGTCCTTTAAGCTCCCCTAATAACTAAGATACTTTTCACCTACATTTTACCTTTATGCATCTTAATTTAGTTATATTAAAGCATAAATTCCTAGAACTTGTTTATATACTCTTAGCCCTTAGGTTTTTCTAGATACATCAACTAATGTTAAGTTAGTTTTTAATAATTCAATAGACATTATTTATGTATTCTGAACTTATTTTGCTTGCAGAGGTTATAGATGCGAGGGAGAGCAGTGACGGGGCACGTACAGAGCCGCCAGCAGTACGGGGGAACCCCTGCCACTTCTCTTGGAGTATGGAGTCAATCAAGTCAGACGTCTTTTTTCTATTGTCGGGCGCTAGTTACAGACTTCCAATAGACCTGAGTCGATCCTTCATACTCAGACATTCCCTACCTTCCCGAGGTGGGTGGTTGGCCATACATCGGGTCAAGGAGGCAAACATCGTCCTTTCTGATGGAATGATGACTCTTAGATTGCCTGACAGACTACCGACCCCAGGGCACATGTTTGTGAGCTTTACAGGGACCCCATGTGTGTACGATATCGGTAGAGAGAGAGCGACCGAGCATCGTATGCGTGCGACGTGCTGGCGGTTTTCATACACCATGACCGGTTAACTACCACATTGTACGACTCAGGATGGCAGATTTGGCGTGACAATGAGATTTTTTAGGCCTGCATGTTCATGAGATGTCGTTGGCCTTCGTGACCACGTCTACACATGTCTTATGGGTTGATCAGATTGGAGGGCTGGTATGTTATTTCATGGATTTTTGGCACCATCCGAGTGATCGCCCTGATTTACGCGTTATGTGGGAGAGCCACTCCCGGAGGTGGAGATGGTTACCTCCGTCTTGAGGCACGATGAGTTCCATTGTTTTGTGCTTCTACTAGGCTTGAGGTACGAGACATGGTCCCTCGATAATCCCCTTACCAGCCTGCCTCCATTCGAGCTTGTCCCCGTGTAGGTGCTAGAGGATATATTCACCGCGTCCTTTTGGTCTGGGTTGACAGTTCCAACCCCTAACGATCGCCGTGGACGGCTGCACATTTCAGTGACCGCTGATGGTGACTACATTATGGTCACTAGTGGGCATGATCAGGAGGACCAGCAGCAGATAGTGCCTCTGAAGCACTGCTACAGTCCTGCAGAGGGTGGACATTGCATATGTCAGTCAGTAATGTTTCTTCTCGACGAGGACTTGGTCCGTGGAAATAGCATATAGTATGTAGTAGATGTAGTAGACATGGATTTGCTCGCTTAGTATGTAGTATGTTTATTCTCAATGCATGCTTTAAATAGGTGTACTAATCCTCGTACATGTTATAAGCATAATCCCAAACACAATATCTACAGATAGTCTTAGCACATAGTATGTAGTACTAATCCTCGTATATCTTCTTACAACCATAATCCCAAGGATAATAGCCAAAGATAGTTGTAGCGGATGGAGGGTCCGAAGGAGCTCGAGTTGACTTTGTTAATGGAGTTAGTTAGAGTTATAAGTCGAAGGCTTTCACATTGAAGTGAATTATGTTAGCGAGAAACCAAAGTAGCTAATATCATAAGTGTTGTCTTATATGACTTTAGAGAGAGGTCAATCTCTGTGATTCTGACTACTTTAGAGAGGGCTTACAAGGACGGTGTCTTATATTGGTATGGCCTAGAGTCTTTGAGAGTTCAATTTAATCCCAGCTATCTGCTTTGTTGAATGTGGTGTTTAAGTTCTGTCAATAAAAGAAGTATTCTATATTTTGTAGTAATATTGGTCTCGCGAACGGCCCGTACAAAACACACGGTCGGGTATTTGTACCTGAGAGCAAAAATATGACCAACAATGTGGCCTCAACCTCTGCTGGAGATGCCATGCAAAATTTTCCGAGGGGCGCTTCCACATCGAAACTCAATACATGTAGGAGGTATATATGTTGAATATTTAGATGAAGTTTTTTTATAACTGATTCTAATAATCTAATCTAAATTATTTCAGAGGTTGTTACTATTGATGGGGGGAGAGAGGTGGGGGTTGATTGAGAATCCCGTCCATGCTTCCTGTTCGGGAGCGACTTTTCAACCCAAACAGAGCTATTTATCCCGTTTTCGGGTAGAAACCATAGAATGGAGATGGACTTGAGTCGATTCTCGTTGGTTGGTCAGTCCCTACCAACCCGGGGTAGTTGGCTGGCTTTGATACAAGAAGGCGAGGACGACGAGGAGGCACGCATTTTCCTAACTTATGGAATAAGGTCTATTAACTTGCCCAACAGGCACCCGACACTAGACGAGATGTGGGTGACTTATAATCGGGTGAGATTCACTGGGAGCCCTGGGGAGGGAAGCCATTGCGCTTGCGTAGTGCTGCTATTTTTGGTAACCCATAATCGGGTGACGAGCTCACTGTATGACCCATCATTGCGGAGATGGCTTCCAGATCAAGTTTTCTTGGAAGTGGACATTCGTGAGATGCCGACGGCTTTTGCTATGACATGTACCCATGTATTATGGGTCAATAGAGTCAGGGGCAGATATATTGTTTCATCAATTTTTGGCGCTATTCGAAAGATCGCCCCACTCTACGAAGAATTAACGTTAGGGGAGCAGCTGTGGGAGGCGAATATGGTGAGCTCTGTGCTGAGGGAGGATAAATTCATTGGATTTGTTGTTTGATTGGGCACGCGATACATTATATATGAGCTGAATAAACCCCGTATGCGTTCGCCTCCTTTCTTTCTGCGTCCTATTCGAGCTCTTGGATCAGTTGACGTATTTGTGGCCTCCTTTCGGATAGGGTTCATAGCTCCAATCGCCAAGGGCCGTCGTTGGGGAAGGTTATATGTCTCTGCGGGTCCACTTGACATAATTGATTGTGTCATGGTAAACTTTGAGGGCGAGGAAGAGGATGAGGATGAGATGGACTGGACGAGGATGACGAGGTCTATGAGGATGACTATGAGTACTACTACTATGATGAGGATGATGAGGAGGAGGCATAGGAGCTTCTGACGCTTAAGCATTGCTACTGTCCACAGGACTTGTTCTGCTATTGCACCAAATTAGTTGTGTTTCTGCTTGAGGGCGTCGAAAAGTCTCTCCTTGATTAGTAGGACTACAAGTTGGTTGTATTTCTGATTAGTAGGTAGTATGTTAGCGCTTACCCTGCTAACTCTTTGAAAGTAAGTCAACCTCTTTAAGACTTTCCTATTAGAAAAAAGTCTCTCACAGACTGTTCGGGACTTTTCTACTCTTATTTTTTGTTTTGTTGCGTGCTGGATTTGATGACTCTTATTTTTGTGTGTTTGTTTGGGGTTTTGTGTTTTCAGGCGCTCTGTGTACTTGGTTATGTGAAAGAGAGTTTTGCTGCTAACTTCTGAAAATTCCTACTTTACTTCACTTATTATGCTCCTGCTTAGCTAGCTCTCACAATTCAGACTCCTTTTATGATTCTCAGCTCCTTTATAAAATGGTTGTGAAGCGGCTGAATAACACATGGAACATTGACTTTACAAATACCCAACGACGACCAGGGACGGATTTAAAAATTAAGAGTAGACTGGACTAAAATTTTAAACTCTTTTTCATAAAAATCACATAATATTTTTTTTAAATATTCACTGAAGTTTTGCTCGACAAATTTCTACAAAAAAAAAAATCATTATGCTCATTTTTCACCGAATTTGATGTGCTTCCACTAAAGGGGTGTTTTCCTTTCTTGGTCGAAGGTTTTGGTGCTCCTTTGAATTTTCAAAAATTTCACAAGACAAATAAATAGTTTTTTTCATATGACATAGTTATTAGTAAAATGAAATGCCTGTACATCCTAAAATTAGATCCAATTATGATATACATCAACCACATTAGAGGATATGCGATTAAAAATAAATAAATAAACACACATGCACACACAATTACTACTTTATACACAATCAAGAAAATAAGAATTGCAACGAAATAATCCAAACAATTACTATTAAATTCTAAATCGCTCAACTAAAATGAGAAGATAGATAAATACAATTAGACAAATGAAATAAATATCTAATAGGGAGTTTAAGAATATAATTTACTATTAAAGAAGAAATTAACTCGTCTTCATGAAAGTAGCTTCTTTCTTGTTGAATTGTTTTTACATTTATTTATTAATTTATTTATTTGTTCTTCTAAATTCATTGTTCTGGTGTTCAGATGAGGGGTATGGCCACATGGCTAATTTATTTGATTGGATTTTGGTGTGTAGTGGTGTATTATGGGTTAGTGTCTAGTGAAAATGGTGTGTCAACAATATATAAATTTTGTTAAAATGGTATTAGTAGTCTTTGGACTTAATAGATAAGTGAATTATTTTGGTGGATTAGTAGGTTAGTTTATTGGACTGAGATAAAAATCCATTTTTTTTTAACTAATAGGTGTAAAAAAAATAATAGGCTTGGGCTTCAGCCCAGCCCAGGCCTAAAGGAGACCAGTCCCTGACGACGACCCTCGGGCACAACACAGAGACATGGCCACAATAGCGCCACCCCATCGACCTTCGTAC